CAATAAGGTACTACTTGGTGCTCCTCTATTTTCACTATTGGACTAAAGACTTGTGAATTTGTGCTGACAAAGAAATTCATTCTTCAGGTAATGTCTAATTTGGTATATTTCTATGGAATGTGTGGCCTAATGAAGGACTGTCTACTCCAGCGATATTTCAGTAAGGTATTAATAAAGATAATATCTCATTCAGCTATTGAATCAGGAGACGATCTTTCATCGTAATTCCTGTGGTTTAATTGTCTGGTTATCTTTACCAGGAAGTTCGAGGTAGTGGGAAATATCCTGAATCTGACATTGCACAAGCCTGTAGAAGTGTTAGTGCTCAATTTACTCTGTGTTGTTTTCTTGATTATGCATTTCTATATTATGGCTATTTTTGACCATGGTATTCGTTATTCTGGCTTCCGCAGTTTCTCGATGAGAGACAGAGTATCAATGTCTGGCGTTTCCTTGAATCCATAAATGGGTACATCTCTATGCTCCAAGAAGTTTGCCGAAACTTCAATGTGTTCAGCCTTTTCCAGCTCCTAATGTGTATTTTTCTTTATTCAGGAGATGTGATATTACTGAGGGGTTGAAACATCTGCAGTGTCGGACACTAATATTTGTTGGTGAAAACTCTCTTTTTCATTCTGAATCCCTCCATATGACCTCAAAATTGGATAGAAGATACAGCGCCTTGGTTGAGGTATTTTTTTAAAAGCTAAAATTCTGTATGTATATAGTAAACTTACTCTTGATTGAAGAATTGCGGAGATCTAGTAAAGAAAATATTGTGTTAGGTCTATCTTATGACTCTTATCTAACATGCAAAACCAAGCCACGAGAAATAACACATCGGGTGATTGTGGTAAATAACACATTGGGTGATTGTGTTATTTGATCTGATGGATTATTATTATTTTAATAACCCAGCTCGGAAACGAACCTAAGACCATGGGAAATATATTGGAACCTCCCAACCGTCCTGGTCACCCGTGATGGGTTGATCTAATGGATTGTTGATCTATCAAAATCACTCAAAACCATGCAGGGAATTTCTATCCTACTTCTAGTATTTGTGAGTAGAAGTGCAGAAGGATCGGACATGGCATTTAGCATATCCGTATCCGCTTATATTGGATTTTAATGGGAATATAAATGTAGTTCGGTAACTAATATTCATTTTCTGTCAAAAAATCGAATACAGATATCGATCAGATGAGTGATATTTTACATATATCCTGAGCTATATCCCTTATCCTATCAAAAATCTGAAGTCATTTCCTTGTTCATGTAACATCTGTATCCTGTTGGATATCTATTGTCGCAGATATCCATCACCTTTTGCATCCTTATTTTGGAGGTTATAATGATATCTCATTGCAGGTTCAAGCTTGTGGATCAATGGTAACAGAGGAGCAACCATATGCAATGCTGATACCAATGGAATATTTCTTCATGGGCTACGGGCTTTATCGCCCGTACCAATTCAACGGAAGCCCTAGAAGCCCACTCAGCCCATCGTGCATATCCCCTGAGCTCCTCTCGCCTGAAAGCATGGGAGTAAAGCTAAAGCCCATCAAGACCAGAGCTTCGCTTCGTATTTGATACAATATGTACATCACGGGGAGAGTGTATACTTAGGAGATAATATACTGTGTACTGTTGTTTCTTTTGGTGAAATTACCGGAATGGAATTTTTGGATGTATAGATATACAGATGAGGGAAGTGGGAAAAAAGAAGATGATACTGGGGATGAAGATTCTATTCCATTCGTTTGTAGTCATAATGTTTTTGTCTGTAAATCATCATTTATTTGTGACGAGCTAATAATAAATACGAAGGGCTTGTGACGTTCTTGATTGTTTCTGTTGTAAAAAGATTGTGTTGAGTGCATATGATTAGATTGAGGAAATCTCTGGTCACATGGAATTATAGGTGTATTCTGGAATCTGAGCATAAAACACTCTGCACTGTAGAATATATTTTGTGACGTGCTGGAGTGTTTCTTTATGGTTTCCTCTTGGTTGGCATTTTTGTATATAAAGATTGTTGTGCAAGTACCTTGTGATCTTCCAGCTTGGCCATAGGAATCAGAGTTTGTGCCTTCATTAGTTCATCTCAAGCCAACACAAGATCAGACTGTATTTTGAAATTTTAGAGAGATTTTATTTATCTGTGGTATTGTAGGATAAGAAGGCCTGGACAAATTTGTTTGGAATAGTTATACCATCCCAAAACATGCTTTCATATTTTGGATAGTTTGCTTAGATGGACTTACCTGCAAAAACTAAACTGAAGAGATTTGGCGATGTGGATGATGAGCTTGTGTCCTTTTCTGTGCGTTGCAATTTGGAACCTGAATGAAGAGACCATTTGCTTTTTGACCGTGAATTCTGCTTCAAGGCGTGGTCTTCTGTCATGGCATTATGTTCAAGTTCAATTTATGCCTAGAAGATGGAGATGTTCTTGATCGGACGAAGCAAAAGATGAAAGCTTCAGCAGCCGCTTGTACGTATCATTTGTGTACCATGAGAAACACTTTTTGATTTTCCAGCAGAAACAGCTTAAAGCTGAGGAATGTATCCCGATGATACAATTTGATATCAAAATCATTTGCGACGAGATCTCAAGGCTACAGGACACTGAAGCAAACCGTGATTGGTGCTCGGCAATGAAAATTGAGCCCGTTTTTGTATCCAAACGGAGGAATTTGTAATGTGTTTGTTTTTGTTCATCTCTTTTTTTAGTTGGTAGTTAACCTGTAATAGGTTTTCTTTTTCTTTTTCTTTTTCCCTTTTTTTTTGGTGCTTGTTGAGCTGGTGTCTCCTCATGTTTTGGAGTATGACACAATCTTGCACATATTAACAGAATCTTGCACATATTAACAGTTTTGTTCGATAGAGGGAAGATATTGTTACTGGGCTAGAATGTGAATTGGGAAGGATTTCGGCTGAAGCTGTAGAGTTCTCGACCAGTGGAGTCAAGTGGAGAAGGCCTTCATTTGCCAGCGGTAATAAGAATTTCGTACTAATCAAAAAATTTTGTTAAAAAATAAACTGATTCTTAGTTGGATATGGGTATATACAACAATATGGATCGTTAAAAAATCCTACATCTATATCCTTATAAGTATTAGGTATGGGTACATTACACTTAACCCCCAAGAACTTTCAACAGCTTGCAGTAAACCCCCAATGACAACCAAATCAAGCAAAACCCCTGATAACTTTTTCATTTTGCAGAAAACCCCAATAAGGTTATGCGCTTTGCAATTAATCCCCATGAACTAGAGCTAACAAACAATATTAAAAGACATTTTTGAAAGTTATTGGAGGTTTACTACAAAATGCTAAAAGTTCTTGGGGTTTAGTGTAATTTACCCTTTCTATAAATTTGCTCGCCTAATTCTAGTTGAACCGGTTTTTTTTCCCTCGGTCAACATGGTTCACATAAATATGATTTTCTATGTATAAGATGATTGATATTGCTAAAATTAAAACAAAAATAAAATTTGAACAAAGAAACTTATACTTGTGTAGAGAAATGCTAATTGTTGGGCAATTTGAAACCAGAATCAAATGGGCTATTGTTAATACGTGGGCTTGGGCCTTCAGCTTAGAGAGTATTTTTGTAATTGTTATGATAACGTTAGCATCGTCTGTTGCCTGTAATGGGTTTTTCTCATTATGGGCTTAGGCCTTCGGCTAAGAGGTTAAGACCTTGGGCTATTGTTTGGACAACTCGTTCACACGGGCTACTCAGATTATGTTTCTGTATCTGCTCTACCAATTTTTGCCGCCTAATTGTAACTGTTAAAACATTGAAATCTTCAGATAAACAACCATCAAAATTGTCCAGCGGTTACCGCGACATTTGTGTAAAGAATTCAAAAAATAATGGTTAAGGATTTTGCTTAAATATATTTTTTTAATTTATCGACAAAAATACTTTTGGGAGTTATAATATACATAAATTACTTATTTTCAAATAAATCTCTGAACTCATTGAATTTGTTATTAGGTCTCACAATTTTTGTAATCTTTTTAAAATTAATAACTCTCATTATTACTTCTACTCTTTATTAGAGGGACTCATTTCAAAATAATTTAAGAACTGAAGGATCTAATAGTAATTTAAATTGTTTGAGGGGTCAACTTCTAATTGAGTTGAGAATAGGAAAGACATGGTAGCACTTTTCATGAACTGAGGGATTTATTTCAAGATATAAGAGTTGTAAAAAGTTGTAAGACACTGATATTGGAAGAAAAAAAAGTTGAAGTACATGGTTTTCAAAAAAATGAGGTAAACTTTAGTCTATTAGTTAAAATAAAAAATTACTTTTTTTAAAAAAGTAGATAGGCTTTCAAATCATTGAAATTGCTATTGTGTTCTTGTATTCCAAAATTATTTTGAAATTAGTCCCTCAAGTTAATGAAAATGTTATTAGGTCCTCTAATTCTTGCAATCTTTTTTAAATTAATCTCTCTAGTTGTTGTCTCTACTTTTTATTGAAGAGAGTAATTTAAAAATAACCTTTTAAGTATTAAGGAACCTAATATCAATCTTAATGATTTGAGAGATCAATTTATAATTAACTTGAGAACTGTAGAACTTAATAACAACTTTTATGGTTAGAGGGATTAATTTCAAAACATGAAAGATTTACATGACTAATAAAATTAATTAATAAAGATGCTATTAAGTCCTCTAAAGTTCATAATCTTTTTTGAATTAATCTCTCTAATAGTTACTTCTACATTTTATTGAAGTGAATAATTTTAAAGTAACCTTTTAAGAATTAAGGAACTTAATAGCAATTTTAATGATTTAAGGGATTAATTTCTAATTAAATTAAGAATTGTATGGCTTAATAATAATTTTCATGATTTGAGTGATTAATTTTAAAATATGAAAGATTTAAAGGACTCATATTGAAAAAAAACTTAAATAAAGGAAAAAAAATAAATTTGGGAAAGTTTTTGAGGGAATCGAACCTCGGGCCTATGTTAATTTAATTAACTTAAGAATTGTAAGATTTAATAATAATTTTCATGATTTGAGGGATTAATTTCAAAATATGAAAGATTTGAAGGGCTTACATTAAAAAGAGTTTTTTAAGTAAAGGTGAAAAGCCTGGAACCGAGTGAGTTCATAGGGAAAGCTTTTAGGGTAAAGCTTGTACCAATTGAGCTACTTAATGTTTATGATGGTTAAATTGTATCTATTCCTCTATAATAATAGGAGGGCCTAAAAATTCACTATTCATGCTACAGTAAATTATTATAGTATTACTATAGCATTTAAAAAATATATATTGTAGCACAGGCAGGTTACTATATCACTTTAAAAGTATTACTATACCTTCACAAAAAAAATACTATAGCATTTAGAAAACAGAATTACTGTAGCAAAAATATAAAATGGGGGCCGTGCTTTGCACGGGAGCACACTAGTTAATAAAAAATGTGAATATGTGCCTCGATTTTAATGAGTGGAGGGGAATATATCACCTTACTACCAAACACAAAAAATTGTGTTTGGTACCAAGCATACTCATTTTCCTCTCTCTTTCTCTCTCTCTCTCTCTCTCTCTCTCCTCTGGAAGCTACTAATACTAGTTTATTTAATATATATACTATTATATATATATATATAGTACTATTTATATCAGTATATAATAGTCTATATATATATATGATATATATTATTATAATGAGAAAACTAGAAATAGCGCTCAGCCAGGTTTCCTTACCCTGCCGTGAGCTTCTTGCAGTGGGGTGCATTTTGAATAAAATCCTGCTACAACACCGGCTTATTGACTTCCGTTCTCGGTGACCATCTCTCTCTCTCTCTCTCTGCTCTCTCTCTCTCTTTTATTTAGATAATTATATATAATATATATAGTAGTATTATATATATAGTATACTATTATATATAGTATATATTATTATATATATATATATATATATATATATATATATATATATATATTATTGAGATACTAGGGTGAAAGCGCTCTGAACATCTATTTCCTTACGTGAGCTGCAGGGGGGCTTTTTTGAAAAAATCCTTAGCGCCGCTTTTCTGACTTCCCGTCTCGGTGAACCCATACTCTCTCTCTCTCTCTCTCTCTCTCTCTCTCTTCTCTCTCTCTCTCTCCTCTCATCTCATTCTCTCTCTCTTGCCTAACCAACTCCCTAGGAGAATACCCCGTCTAACTCTTCCCCACAACACCTCACCCCTTTCTCTCCCCAAACCTCACCCTCCTCCCCTCCCCAACTCCAGCCGCAACTCCGCCGCGAGATCCCTTCGTTTCAGGACCAGATTGAGATCCCTCTCTTCTCTCCTTCTCATCTCTTCTATGCCGTCGCGAGATCCCTCCATCCCAAGACCAGATCGAGAACGGGGTGCCCCCTCCAAGACTCTTCCTCCTCCGCGAGCTTACTCTGGTTATCCCGATCCATCCCTCAGGTAAAATCCCCATCCCTCTCGATCCCTCTATTCTCTCCTTCTCATCTCTTCTAATACACCCTCTTTTCTTCTCCTACGCTAATCTGTTTTGGTCTTTCAATAAATTAATATCTAATGGAATAAAATTGATTTTGATTCACCTCTCATACAAAGAACAACATATTGTCTTTGAATATTACTAAAAACAAAAGGAAAAAAGGTTCATTGAATGATAAAAATTGTTAGGAACAATGGCATCTTTATTTTAAATGTGACAAAGAGAGTCCGAATTCGCTTCTATTGACCTATTACATGCGGTTAGTAGAGGAAACTTGAAACTTAAGTTGACTTATTTATAAAGGAGAGTGTGGGTATAAGAAGTTGACTACTTGTTGATTTGAGCATTTGCCC